GGATGAATAATGTAGAATTGTAATATTCAGGTAGTACCATAGATCAAACCCCATGCATTATTGGCTCCCATCATGTCTCCTTAGAGCATCTCCAGCAGTAGCGTCCAAATTAGGTCTCTCATTTTTTATTTGGGTGCCCAACCCTATTTTTCCAACAAATTTCTTCCACTTCAGCAGCAGCACCCAAAGTCAGGCCCCCAAATCCATATTAGCAGACAATGAGTCAAACCTTTCTTCCCCATCCTTCACATGCAGATACCATAGGCGCGGCAGAGGGAGGTGCTCGCGTGGCTGAGGCAGCGCTCCCGCGCGGCGGAGGGAGGCGCGGTCTGGCTACTCCCGCGCGACGGCCATGGCTCGAGCCGCTCCCGCGCGACGATCGGCAGGGGGCCACTCCCGTGCAGTGGCCAGCCGGGTCCGCGCTTGCCCGTTGAAGGAGAGAGGGAGACACACCACCAGCGAAGAGAGGGAGAAGCGTCGTCGCCCGCTGGAGCTCTGGCCGAGGTCGCATATCCGCTCGCCACTGGCCCCTTCGTCTGTGTACTCTGCGTATTTGGCTGTGCGGGGAGGAGAGAGGGAGACGCGCCACTGCCCACTGGAGCTCCTTGCCGGAGGCGAGGAGCAACGACTGCGTGAGCCAGATGCGCGTGGAGAGGGATGGGGGCTGGGATATTGGCCCAACCAGAATGGGGGCTGGTGGGAGGATTTTGGTGCCCCCACAAATTTAGGGTTCGTAGTAGGGGCCCTGCTGGAGTTAGATTTTTGACCTGAGCCTCCATATTTAGTTATGTGGGCTCTCAAGTAGGGGTCTTACTGGAGTTGCTCTTATTAGGCCTATTTTTTGTAAGGTAGATGATTTTTGCTAGTTAACAACACGATTGTCGTGACTATCAATGCGTGCCATTTCAAAATCTAGGGTTCTAGTCCTCTGCGGGTTCATATATGGTGGACATGTATATGCGGGTATTAATCGTATACATGAGCTTTTTGTGTGTATAGGGAAATAAAGCTTTGGTAGTGAAAGTGTAAAAAAAAAAGTTATGTCATTGACGAGTCCGTACAGTCATGCATGAGCTTGTAGTAGAAGAAGGGATGATTGATCAAGAAATAAAATGAGTAAATTGTATGTGCATGTGGTTCCTAAATTATTTTGAGAACCTAGAAATTAAATCTGGCTTGTGAGAAAATGAACTAAAAATTGAAAAGCACACTAAGATGGGCTTACCTGCTGGCTTTTGAAGTGATGCTGGGAAGCTAAAATTTTATTAAAACCCAATAGCAAAAAGCCAGCAACCATAAACCATAATATAATAGTCAGAAAGTTAACTTTAAAACAAAAACCCAAAATCTACTACAACTCCAACAAACGGGGACCAAGTTGGGTGCAGGTGCAGCTGGTGGCGGCACCGCACGTGTGAGGAAAGTTGCGTAGTAGCTAGCTAGCTAGGGCCTAGGGGCCAGCGTACTATACAGCCAGCACAGCACGTACGTGCCGGCCCAACCCAGCCCGGCCCGATCGATGTGGTACCACCCACCATGACCATGCATCTATCCTCCCCGGCCGGCCCTCTTTGCTAGTATATGATGATGATGGTCACCGCCGCGATCTCTGGCTCGCTCGCTCGCTCATCTCTCTCTTCCCCTCGCCTACCTGCCGCCGGCATCTCCCACCCATGGTGGCTGTCTGTTTCTATGTCGTTCCAGCTGGACCTGGACCTGGGGCAGCCTGATGTTTAATTTTGTGTCGGCGGCGCGGCCTCCGATCCATCTCCATCCTCTTCGCTCCATGGCTCCATCCATCTCTATGGATCGTCTATATATACGGCCCCATCTCAGCTCTCTCCCTCTCTCGAAGCTCCTTCCGATCCGTTCCCCTCTCCCTCTCTAGATCTCAGTTCCCACACATATATACTCGATCTCACTGTCTTTGTGCACATCAGAGAGAGAAGAGCTAGCTAGAGAATTATGCGATTATGCGGCAGATCAGATCAGACAGAGAGACAAGAGAGAATTTTATATATACATGCAGCAGCCAGCCAGCCAGCAAATCAAATTAAGGAAGAAACCAGCCAGATGGTGGCCATGTTCTCCACAGGCTTTCTTGAACTGTGAACTCGATCGATTCATGTGGATCATTCATTAGCTTGTTCGTCTTGTTGATGGTTCAAGAAAGTCCTTGGAAAACATGGCGCGCATCTGTTCCAGTCATGATAGATGGCGCGCGTTGTCTTTCGCCGCCCGCCGACTACCATTCATGATAGGTTATCGTTGTCTATGTTTTACCTTCGATTCTGCGGGCTTGCGGCTACCTACCTCTAGGTAAATCTATATCTGTCTCTGTTCTTTAATTTCTGATTTCTGATCGATTATTATGATGCCCGGCCCCAATAATAATTCTTCAATAATTTCTCAATTATCCATGCCTGCCTTTGTGTGAATTACAAGCTGGCTAATATATAGCTAGGTCGCTACCTAGCTAGCTGCTTGATTAATATTGCCCCGGCGGCCCGGCCGGCCGGCGCCCCCGCCCTATTCCATCTCCAACAACTCCATCTTTTGCGTGCATGCATGCGGCGATCGATGCGGGCATGCGTAGCTGCTGGATCGGCCGGAGTACATGCATCCATCTTGTCTTCATTTTGGCTGCCATCACATCTCTTATAGAACTAGCTAGGTAAGAACCTCCCTGTCTTCATTATTAATTCTTCTTGATTGATGGTTATCGTATGTATGCACATCATCTCTTCTTCCTTGGGATCACTACTTGACGCGAATTGATTTTTCCTTTTCCTTTTTTATTTTAACTCCACTTTCCAATATAATTCTCTTCGCCAGATCCAGACTTAGGCCTTGTTTAGTTCGCGAATTTTGGGAATTTGGCTACTGTACCACTTTCATTTTTATTTGGTAATTAGTGTTCAATCATGAACTAATTAGGCTCAAAACGTTCGTCTCGCAATTTCCAACCAAACTGTGCAATTAGTTTTTTTTCGCCTACATTTAATGCTCCATGCACGTATTACAAGATTTGATGTGATGGCTACTGTAGCACTTTTTGGAAATTTGGTTGGGAACTAAACGAGGCCTTACCTTTGCAGTTTGGTATCGATTGAGTTTGTTCCGGAATTCCTTTGCCGGCCCTGACTTTTATTTGTCTTGTTGATTCTTAACCTGTGACGATGGAATTTTCTGCAGTATATATTGTGTGTGTGCTTTGTTATACCATGTCATTTCAGTTAGGCCCCTTTGGAATTGTGTGAAAATTTCTTGTTTTCTGCATTTTTTTTTAATTTTCTTATGAAAATGAATTGATTCCTGTGAAAGTCCAATATGCCTCTATTTGTTATAATTGTGCCAAATTTTACACTAGAGGAGAGACTCATTTTAGTTAGTTCATCAGCCAGTAGGGAGATATACAAGCGGTAGATGAGGGGAGTAATTTAATTGTTTTCAAATAAAGAATATTTCCGAGGCGGGATTAATTATAATTTGTTTCGACATGCATGAGACAAATACTAGGAATGGCTAACAAGGCATAATGTGGATCGGCTGGTTAGTTTACCGTACCTGCATGCTTTACTATGAATTTATATGATCCGTACTGCTGCTTACTGCCAGATGTATTATGGATTACATATGAGTTGAGAGAGAGATCTCCAATGCAACTGAATTCTTACATAAAATTCAGCTAAAAAATTAATGTTATTGACTTTAGTTTATTTGGTTGTTGTGCACTGTGGCGTTAGATTATCTAAACAGCATGGAGCAGAAAACTAATTAAACATTGTCAAAATACAGTATTTGACTTGTCGGAAGGTGATAACCATAGTAATTTACTGAAGGGAGGGAGTAGACTGGAGGAGCTAGACAGCTAGTATGCTGCAAGGTGGTAAGGAGAAGCAGCTGTGCACTGCACCGTGTCGCTGCTGATTTTACTGTTGGACTACTGTACGTACCTTGCTGGCCCAGAAAGATAAGACGGCAGAAGCTACTCCTCCCCCTCTAGACACGAGCAGACACACCGAAATTTTTATTTTTCAGCCTTTTCTTTTGAAAAATATTCATAAATAGATCCAGGTGATTTGATTTTCGTTTATGAATCTTGACCTCGACGTCATGGCTTTTAGCGTCGAGAAAACACGTCTTGGCGAGACGTCAAACGTGGCGGTGACCTGACGCCGACGTGTATAAGATCTCGGCGCCGTAGATCTTGGCGTTTGAAATGAAACAAGTATAATTGTTCCAAGGAACATGAAACAATGTTATTATGGTTCAGCTGATTAGGATGCGCGCGAATTAGCGCAAAGGCCTTGGTTTGAACCGAGCGCTGAATCTTTTTTTCTACATTTTTCGGCAACTTTGCTTCGTGTACCTCCCTCCGGTTCGGCGTTAGAGTACGGGACGGGAAAGCGAAACCCTCACGGCGCCGGAACCCGACCACCTCCCAATTCCGGAAGCGAATAAACACCACTAGATTCCGGCCGCGGTCCCTAGCCCGGCGCCGGCGTCCCCCCAACTGGCTCCGAACCCTGTGGCTTCGTTCGCGCGATCGGAGGGGCTCTGTTGGTGTTCATCTTGTATAGGGGAGGGTGGGTGTGTCAGAGTTGCCGGCGTTTTATTTTGGTCCTTTTCATCCGGTGAGCTGGAGCTTTCTCGCAAATTACTCGCCGCGGCAGCCGACTTGGACTGCTATCTCTGGTTCAATTGGCCCAGCTTGCGTTCCAGTTTTCCCCAAAACTGCGCCGGTGCCTCGCAGCTTGCTGAAATTGTTCATCTGTTCGTCTGGCGATGCAATTCTCTCTCAAGCTGATTCCATCTTAGGCTCACCTTGACTTCACTGCAATCTGCTGAAGTCGCCCATCTCTCCGGGCCATTGCCGCTCGCTTGATTCGAGGGTTGCCTAGGGTGCTTTGGGGGCCAGTTGCCGCAGGTGGCTGCTATTTGGGTGCTGAATTTGGATAAGTCTTGGGAAGGCGCAACCTTTTCCTTTTCCCGTGACCATGACGTTACTGGAGGATTTGATCCGGGCGATAGAGCTCTGGCTTCGGATTGCAAAGGAGCAGGTGCCCTTGGTTGATCCCACCCTTGACCCAGTGTTACTTGTTCCTGGTATTGCTGGTTCCATCCTTGAAGCTGTCGATGAGGAAGGAAACAAGGAGAGAGTTTGGGTGCGCATCCTTGCTGCTGAGCATGAGTTCAGAGAGAAGCTCTGGTCCAAATTTGATGCCTCCACTGGTACAAACTATGCTCCTGTTCACAAATTATTAATTATGGTTTATATTCAGCTGTCTATTACTCTAACACATGGACTTCCTTCTTTTAAATTCTAATGTTATTAATGTATTGACTTATTTTACAACGATTTCGAAAAAAAAAATGAATGAAGTTAGAATAATGAACCCCCCCCAAAAAAAAGACACAGACGTGTGTACTAAAGTGGCATGGTCTTCACGAGACAATTGCCATAAATAAAAAAAAGTGGCATCGTCTTTTGGCTTTATAAGCAAAAGTTTGGCCAATCCTTTTCGATTCATGTTTTTGTCCCTTATGTCATTAGATTGTTTCCTGTTTCCATGTCATATGATATGAAGTTATTCTAATGGAGCAGGTAAAACTGTTTCTGTTAACGAGAAAACAAGAATCACTGTCCCTGAGGACAGATATGGTTTGTACGCCATTGACACATTAGACCCAGACTTGGTAAGACATTACTTCATCTATTTGCGCAGGCCACCGTGGTCGTTCACCCGGAGAAAGAAGGGCGGCAGCATGTGGAAGTTAGGGCTGTGGGTGTCAGCCATGGTGGCTAAGCCGGAGGAACCACGTTGGTTGTCTATCTAGCAGCTAAAACCTCTGGGCACGCACTGTAAAATTGGATGTACATATGGCCGTGACCTCTCTAGGAAATCTGTGTTTAGAACTATATAAATGTTCACGCTGCTTGTAAAAATGTTCAGAACAGAAAAATGTTCACGCTGCCGAAAAATGCTTATAAAAATGTAGCAAAAAAATTTTAGCGCTGGGGTCGAACCCAAGACTTTTAAGCTAAGTCGCGCGCATCCTAACGAGTTGAACCGCAATGGTGTTGTTTCATGTTCCTTGAAACAATTATACTTGTTTCATTTCAAATGCCAAGATCTACGGTGCCAATGCCTTGTCCACGTCGGCGCTAAGTCACCGCCACGTCCGACGTCTCGTCATCACCTCAGTGCCATTGGTCATGGCGTCAAAAGCCATGACGCCGATGTCACGGTCCATAAACAAAAATTAAACCATCACGAGTCTATTTGTGAATATTTAAAAAAAAAAGCTAAAAAATAAAAAATTCGGAGCAGACACACACAGCTCCCTCTCTCCTCCTCCAACCCTGCTGCTGTCGCTGTCCCTGTCGTCTCTCATCTCTCTCTCTCTGACTCTGCGTGTGTGTGTGTGTACGATGATCCATGATCCATCCATCCATGGGCATGGAGCTGAGAAGAAGAGCTGAGCTGCTTTTCATTCTTTTTTCTTGGATCGTTCCCTTCCCTCTTGTCCCGTCCATCCATCCATCCTGACCTGTCGCTTCATTCCCACCTGCATCTGCTGCACCCTGCTGCCCGGCCCGGCCGACCCTTCCTTTTGTATTCTTCGTCTCCTCTCGCATCTCTCTTCTCTCGCTGCGACCCTGCATTTCTTTCTCGTCTCACTTGAACACTTTTGCATTTTGGAAACCACCACTTCACTCCAGTTCAGTTCAAATGCATGTGCATCAACAATGTCAGTCTCCAGCAAAGCAATGCAAACAGGCATTTGCAACCTACTATCCCATATCTGGAAATCTGAATCTGCCATGCCAATTCATTCAGACACTGACGGAAAGTCTGAAACTGAAACTGAACTGAACCCAATAATTGGCACACCAATGCTCACTTGCTGCCTGAATCATCATCATGCATGGAAGGGAAAGGAAAGGAGCCTTCTTTTCTTTTCACTCCTACCACCATCATGAGTTCACGACGCATCGTCATCCATGCTTCATTCACCACATCACCACTGCATCATCGATTACCACTAGAGTTGGTGCTAGTGAGAAACGACCTATTCGCTGGGCTTATAAACCGTACTTTTTCAACCAATGAACAGTATTTTTCTCTCACAACAAATCAGCCAATGGTACTTTTAGTCATGGCTTATCAGCCAAACGAACAGGCCAAAAATTGCGTCGGCCCAAAGCAGGCAGGCAAGGCAGGGAGATGAAGTGACACAACAATGCAAGCCTCTCTGCCTGCCTGTGCCTAGTAGGAAAGGAATACTCCTAGCCGCTGTTCAACCATGGATCTCTGTCCCTGCGTTGCCTTGCTCCATCAGTCGCCTTGCTGCTTTCACTGTGGATCCATCATCAGAGATTCAGAATTCCATGCCATGCCATGCTCCTGCTGCTGCCCCTGCTCGTGCTCGGACCATGCATGCCATGATAGCAATAGCATGCACACACTGATGCCTCGCTGCCGCTTCTCCTCTCTCCTTTCTTTTCATGCATGCACAAGCTGCAGAGAGAATTTTCCTTGTGTGTTTTGTAGCTTGCTCCGCCAACCCAACCTGCTCACCTCTGCCGCTGTATACATAGTACACGTACTTAGTAGTATCAGGGTTACGGTCACGGTCGGTGAAACATGCTGCAAGATGATTACTTATTTAGGCTTTGTTGGGATGTTATTAGATTTACCTCAATCCATATGTGTTGAGATGCATTGAGGAGGAATTTAGTTCAAGTTTCACTTCAATCCACCCTAACACATGTATATTAATGTGAATCCAACTATATAAAAAAAAAAGACCTCGAAGTCGACGAATAAATGACCCTGAATCATAGATCAGATGATGAGCTACCTCTGCAGTGCAGCTGCTAATGCGTTTCCGTTTTGTTCTCTGACAGTGTCGGGCAGGGCATCCCCTGACTGATTGCATGCCCTCAACCAGTGCAAACTGTACATAAAGCTACCGACTTACTATTGCACTAGTACGCTTTGGCCCCGTTTAGTTTCCCCCAAAATCCAAAAAATTTTGCGCAGTACCCGTCACGTCAAATCTTGCGGCACATGCATGGAGTACTAAATGTAGACGAAAAAAAATAATTACACAATTGGCCGAGAAATCGTAAGACGAATCTTTTAAGCCTAAATAGTTCATAATTGGACAATTTTTGCCAAATACAAACGAAAATGCTACAGTAGCCCAAAACCGAAAATTTTCGGAACTAAACACGCCCTTTATTTGCGTGCCTAAATAAATGCTTCAAGCAGCTAGCGGCCGAGGAGCTGATTGATGCAACAACTCAGTGCACTGACAGAGTAATTTTATCGGAGTGCAGAGTGTTGGCCCGCGGGATCACCGTCTGATGACAGTGAATTAGTTTCCGACCACTAGTTTTTCAGACCACTAGTCTCCCAGACTAGACCTCTATTCTCCCAGATCAGACCACTAGTCTCCAGACCACTAGTCTCCCAGACCAGACCGTTAGTCTCTAGACCAGACCACTAGTCTCCCAGATCAGATCGCTAGTCTCCAGACCAGACCACTAGTCTCTCAGACCACTACACCGGTTCTGTCCGTACCCACACACTACGGATCGAGCTAGAAGAAGAAGAGAGAACATAGCAAGCACGCACAATACAAGACAACAACGTTGGCCGAAGCCATGTCTGTGTGATGGCAAATCTGAGCTCTCTTTACTGAGATGCCTTGGTGCCCTATTTATACAACTCTATCTATCTAACTAAAGTTACTGACTCACATGTTTGTAACATGAAGTAGATAAACATACTGTAGGCTAACTTCTGCGCGGCCTTTGTGATGTGCCTCACTGATCTTTGTCAGAGGTGAGCCATGCGGCGCTTTGCACCTCTGGTGACTCTTGTATTACAAAGGGGGTAAAGTCGGCGCCGCCTTCCTCTCATTGTGTTTCACACAAGGTGGCGAGATTAGCTAACAATCTTCCCTAATCCCTCGCTAACCCTTGCACCCCTCCATGCCGATCATCTCCTTCACTCCGTGAGTCGAAGTCGTCCGAAAGCGGCTTGGTGAGGACGTCCGCGAGTTGCCGACCGGTTTCGACAAACTCGATGACGATCCGCCTCCATCAACACAGTCCACGAGGAAGTGGAACTTCACGTCGATGTGTTTACTCGGTCGTGCGCAGAACCGGATTCTTCACGAGCGGCGATGGCGGGCTGGTTGTCCACCATCATCTTTGGTGGGTGAGCTTCGCGCCGGTTAGCTTCGCCCAGCAGTCGGCGTAGCCACACAACTTGGCACGCCATTGTGGCGCCGCACGTACTTCGCCGCACGTAGATAGCGTCACAACCTTACATTTCAGCCGATGATGACCATGACATTGGGGGCTGACCGAGGAAGACGAGTACGCTAGAGGTGCTCCGTCGTCCGTCGATATCCCCGCCATGTGCGCATTTGAACACCATGAGTGCGCAGCCTACTTCCCTTGGTCTTTGGGAAGATGATTCCATGATTCACCGTCCCCTTGATGTAGCGTAGTAGCCGCTTCATCGCAGCCCAGTGATCCTCTCTGGGATTGTAACACCTCGGGTGTTAGCCTTGCATAACTTGACTCGCATAGCATGAGCATGATCATAAAGCATTCATAATCAAGCATTTGACATTTGAAACATTCAATTGAAACATATGCAACATTCTTATTATTTCATGTTTCCATGTGTATATGCAAATGATCATGAATGAAAACCTGCACTTGGTAGATGTGAGTCCCAAAAACATGTAACCACACTTGGGTTCGCAATTAGAACATTGTTCATGAAAGTCACTTTTCTTAATCAAGCCTTTAAGGCATGTTTCCTGTGATTGCCCTAACTAGCTCTATGAATGGCTACTACATAAAATGATTGAATGACCTTGCAATTTGCTTAAACATGCTTATGATATCATTATGAACAACTTTGGTATTTAGGGCTAGGGCTAATTTGGTCATTTAGTCATGGTTTGAGTATGTATCATATTTTCAAAGTGACAGGTTTGACTAAAGTTGAACTAGGTGCTAGAGACCTTGCATGGAGGAGTTCACTAAAGCAATGTTGTAGTGTTTGACATAAGGAACAACTTTGATTTTTGGGTCTTTGACTGAATCAGCTCCTAACATGTGTGAATTTGGATTTCAAAATTCAGAGAAATCAACCATTTCAACACTTAGCAAATTTTGCTAAGTCATGAACCCTGACAGCCTGACAAGCCAACCTTGAGCACGATTTTTCTCTGTTTCTGTTGCGATTTAGAACAAGTGCTTTGAACAAGTATTGTAGCTGGTACATAGGTCTACAATTACGGTTTAGGAAGTTTTGGCTACAAGTCCACGAATTAGGAGTATAATCGACTCGAAAACTCGCTGTCAGGCTGCTTCTATCGCGTCTGAACTAATCGAATCGATCAAGACAAATGGCCGACCGGCTTTAGACACAGCGCGCGCAGCGTGGAGGTCGCCATGGCGCGCGTCGTCGCCCGGCCGATCACCGACCACGCGCCGCCACGACGCGTTCGAGCGCGGCATTACCACGCCAGCACCCGCCCGCTCCCGTCCGCGCCCTCAGTTTCACTTTCCCGCTCCTCCTTCGCCGTCCGCAGCACCCGCAAGCTCAGCCGCTGGGCTCCCGCAGCGCCACCATCGTCGTTGATGGCCCAAGCCACGCCTAACCGCTTCTCCATCATCCGAATCGCATCACCGTCTTCCCGGCAACTCCTCGCACCAGCAAAGGTGTCTCATTGTTCAAGCTCGGTGAGCTCTAGCCCCGCACACCGCCTCACT